CCCCTTCCTTCCTGGAGACCTCTTCTGTGGAGTCTTTCATCTTCTTTTCCAATCTGGATTGATTGCCGTTTAGTCATGCTTCAGTGCAGTTATCCTGGGACCTCTATATACTACTTTCCTGGGATCCACTATCTTTTGGATCTTATGATTTCTTTTTCTTGATTTATACCCTTATTTTGCTATAGTACATAATTGCTTTTTTAAGAAAACATGCAAATAGGTCAATTCTCTGAACTCTTGCATTTTTGAACATACATGTCTTCTACTTTCACAGAAACTGATGCTTTGGATGAGTACAGAATTCTGAGATGAATGCTTCATTTTCATTGAGCATTCTTTGTTGCTATTGAGCAGTCAGATGCCAGGCTAATCCTCATTGCTTTGTAGGTGGCCTTGTTTTGTCTTTATGGAAACTTTCAAGATTTTCTTATCTTTGATATTTTCAAATTTTACAAACCTGTATCTAGAGATTGTAAAATTTGAAAATATCAAAGATAAGAAAATCTTGAAAGTATATCTAGAGAAGGAGCTCTGGTAGCATAGTGGCTAATGCACTTGACTGCTAACCAGAAGAAAGAGCTCTGGTAGCATAGTGGCTAAAGCACTTGACTGCTAACCAACCAGAAGGCTGGCGGTTCAAACCCACCAGCCACTCCTCAGAAGGAAGGTTGGGCAATCCTACTTCTGTAGTGATACTGCCTCGGAAACCCAAGGAGGGGTCGCTATGAGTCGGGGCCGACTCGACGGCACATAACAACAACAACATATCTAGAGAATGAGTCTTCTTGTCAGTCAATGGCCCTTTTAATCTGAACACTTATTTTCTTTCCAGTTTTAGAAAATTTTCTTCTATTTGTTTCTTTAATAAATTCTTCCCTTTTCGCCCCTGGTTTTCTCTTCCTAAGACTTCTTTTACTTTGATGTTGGACTTGCTGTCTTGGCTGTCAGTGCTCTTTGTCCTTATTTTTAGTTTCTGAGTTGTTCCTCTACTTAGGGAGGATTTTCTTGACGTAGTTTTCAGTGCTTGTATTAAACTTTTAAGGACTCCTGGTGGCTCAGTGATTAAAGTGCTTGGCTGCTAAACAGAGGTCAGCAGTTCAAAACCACCAGCGGCAACACGGGACAAAGATAAGGCAATCTGCTTCCTTAACTATTTACAGCCTTGGAAACCCTATGCAGCAGTTCTACTTTATTCTATAGCGTCACTGGGACTTGGAATCAACTTGATGACAGTGGGTTTTGGTTTTATTAAACTTTTTGCTTTAGCAACCATGTTAATTTCTGAAAGTGTTATTCTTGTTTCATAGCATCCTTTACTGATTTTATGGCTGCAATCTATTTGACTCTGATTACATTAGCTAGTTTCTGTTGTTTGGTTCAGCCCAGTTTGTTTTTGTGTTTCAGGTCTCTCTGGTTTTTGTTTTATTTTGTTCCTTACAGTGTTTATTTATTTAGTTTACTTATTCTTGTCAGTCAATCTCTTTAATGCTGTAGGTTTTCCTCATATACAAGAGATCCTTAGGTAGCTGATTAAGGTTTTCTCTGCTATTCATATAATAATAGAGCCCTTTTCCAGACATGTTTCTCTCCTGAGTAGGAATTATGTTAGAAAACTCCAGGTGGAGCAGGGCTGGGATTTACTTTTGGGTAGGCTGATGGGAGGCCACCTATCAGGCTATAACTCCCATCCCCAAGCAAGTACCAAGTACCAGAGTAACTATGTTCAATGTCTTTGTAACCTCACATTGTATACCTTTTGTATACCTTTCTCCTAAAGGGTGTCCAATACATATCTGATACAATTGGATGTGCCAATTGGTACATTTGCTCATTTGTAAATTTTTGACATATCCCTAATTTGTAGCCCTACTTTTCAGTCTTATTTCCTGACTCTGAGGCCAAACTCTTCCCCTTTGCAGTTCCTCACATCATTTTTCTAGGCTCTGGTGTGTCTATCTATTTTATTGATCAGCTTGCCTCCATCGGTTTCCCATATATTTATTGAAATCTCTTACCTGTTATTGACCATCAGCATCCCAGTCTCTGCCTCACCTTTTCTGCTTCCTTTTCTGTTATGGCTATGCCTTCATTATTCTGTTACATTTTTACTTCAGTGAGACCTCAGGAGAGAGGAGAGGCAAACACATATTTCTGCCATCTTGAATTTCTCCAAGTTGTTTTTTCAAAGAGCTACCAATTTGACTGGGAGCTCTGGTAGCATAGTGCCTAAAGCACTTGACTGCTAACCAGAAGGCTGG